ACGTGTCCAGCTCCAGGGGAATGGGAGAGATGGCTGGGTTTTCCGTGTTTGCAGCTCCAGCCTCACTTCCCCTTTCTAACAGAACTAAGAGGCGATTGGGGCGGAGTGGTACCCTGAGCCCTACTGATTGCGGGGGGATGTTCCACACTCGTCTGCCTCCTGCCACCGCTGCCGGCAGTTCAGTAGCTTGGTGAAATCTCTTGGAGCTCAGGCTTCCTCCCTGCTGTGCACACTCAACACCTGCGCTTTTGCTGGGTGGCTTCAAGGTCACTGCTCCTTTCTCTGGAAGACAGGGGTTCTTGCATTGGCTGGTCTTCGGCAGTCCCATGCATAGGTGTGATCTTTATGTTATTTTTAGTTTTCTGTTCTTACCATGGAAATGCTTTCTGGGTCTTGATATCCTAAACTGGAAGTGATCTTCCAGTATCTTTTCTTACTCTTCTTCAACCTGTTTTGTCATTCACTGCCAGAGTAATCCTTTAATTAAAAGTGCAACTGAAAGCTGGGGGAGCTGGGTGCGTTCGCACATGCTTGTAATCCCAGCACTCAGGAGGCTGAGGCAGGAGGGTTGTCATGAATTCAAGGCCAGCCTGGGCCGCATAGTGAGTTCAAGGCCAGTGAGACCTTGTCTCAAAAAAAAAAAAGTGCAGCTGATCTCATAGGTCTTTAGGTGTCACTGACCCCATGCGTCAGTAGCCACAGCCTCAGCCTCACTAGGAGTGCCTTCTGGCACTCTTCCCCGCTCTGCTGCCTGAATGTGCATTCCTTTATTTCATATGTGCTGACATACTCTTCCATCTGGGGCAAACCTCTTAGGTTCTTCTTGCCCCAGAGCATTTTATTTACATTTTTATTATTGTTTATAGTGTATTGAGGACATTTGCTTCATGTCATCCAGTTCTAATTTGAGTTCATGAGGACTTGGATGGTATCAAATTAATTTTGTGATTTTCTAAGACAAGTATGATGTCTTGGCTCTAATGCACATTACACATCTGTTCTATGGATGAATGGAGCCACACATCAAAGAACGTTGCGGATATCCAACAACTGTGGATCGCGTGCTTTGCCCCTGCCCAGTGCTAGGGCATCAAGATGGACGAGCGCAGCCCTGCTCTCCGGGACTCTTCCTTACTGTTTCATGAGTCTCATGAGTCTGTGATGTGAAGTGGCCTTTTTTTTTTTTTTTTTTTGGACTGGGAATCAAACTCAGGACCTCACACTTGCCAAGCAGCGCTTGTGCCATTGAGCTATATCCCCAGCCAGGGAAGTGGTTTTATAACACACATACAGTGTGACATTTCAGCTTTGTGATTGGGCTTCTATCCTGACCCCTCCCTAAGTCATATTCCTATGAAATGAGAATAAACTAGATGACCTGCAGAATTTAACAATGCCAATTATGCTTAGGTTTCTCAGCTCCATGGTACCTGGCGCAAAGTCTTTGAGCCCTGCTGAAGCTGGCACAGGACAAATGTGCCTTACACGCGGGGCTGGTCAGCTCCTGCCAAAGGGGATGGTAGGCAGTGATACTGAAGGCAAATTTCATTTCTGTTTTTCACTTCATTGATTTCATCATATACCTTCTCTGTACTTCAGAAGAACTCTATTTTCTTCACCTACCTTGGTCTCAAACTTTATATTCAGCTCTTCCATATTGTATATTAAATGTATTGTATAACATCTGGAGTGTAGCTCACTGGGTAGAGCATTTGCCTAGAATGTATGAGGGCCTGGGTTTGATTCTCAGTACCACAAAAACATATTTTTATCATATAAGTAATTTTACTTTATTGCTTTTAACTCTGAGAAGAAGGTGAGGGGATCATTTTTCTTTATTTTCTGAGGAAGTTGTCTTCACAGACATAGCTAGGGAGCAGTGAATTCAGACTCAGGCCCAGGTCTTGATTCCAAATCCCATCTCTCCTGTTTGCTTATCTGTCTAAGCTCCTGAATTTTACCTCCTCTTCACACAGCACATCAGGGGAATTGGCAAGGGGGTAAATGTTTAGCCCTTGACTGGGAAGTGGATGTGCACAGGGTATCCCGTGGCAGTCCTGAAGCAAAGGGTGATGAGGTCCTGCCACTGAGGAGGCAGATTTCAAGTCTTCTTCATTGTCTGCTCATAGTGCAAGAGAGGAGGCTTCTGTGGTGTGGCTGGAGTCATCAGCATGATCTGTGGTTAGTGTGGTGGTTCTCCACTGGGGCCATCTTTGCCCTCCCAGGAGCAGTGTCTGGAGACCCTTTGGGTCATAACAGGGAGATTACTGTTGTCCTCTGATAGGTAGACAGATGCTGCCAAGCACAGGGAGGTGCTCCACAGTGAAACTGTCTGGTGGCTGCTGTTGGCAGGGCTGAGGTTGAAAACCTGGGTTAGGACAGGGCACACTGAGAGTTCCACCCTCGGTATAAGATTGTTGGAGGCAGGAGGGAACTGAAGTTCTGTTACCAAAACAAGTGGAAGAGATGCCAGGCAGGAAAAAAAAAAAAAAAAAAAGCACCACAAACTAGAGCTATCATTCAGTGACTGTAAGGGTGAATTACATGTTTGAAAATGTTGGACTACTTGAGGTTTCTCAGAACTTCTAGACTTTTTTCTTGTTGTTGTCCTTTGCTTTTTTTAAAAAACGTCTTTTCCTTTTCTCAAGAATATCTTTTATTTTTATCTTTTACTAGTACAAGTTTGCAGTACATACATTTTACAATCATATTTTTTTAACTTCTAAATTTACACTTCAGAAAGATTATAGCTGGGTGTGTCCCAGCACTCTGGGAGTATGAGGCAGGACCATTGAAAGTTTAAACCCAAGCCTGGGCAATTTAGCAAGACCCTCCCTCAAAATAAAAACTTAAAAAATGGCTGGGGATGTCACTTAATCCAAAGGCACTGAGTTCTATCCCTGGTACCAAAAAAAAAAAAAGGAAAAAAAAAAAGATCCTAGGTCAGTGGTGGCGAACCTATGACACATGTGCTGCAGCACACTGTGTGTTATAATTGGAAGTTCTAAAAGTTTTACTGTTACTGTGCTAGGTGACTACTTGTTTTGCAGAGGGGATCAGGAATCAAATTTATGACCTCACGCTTGCCAGGCAGGCGCTGTGCCACTGAGCTATATCCCCAGCCCCAGATGATTGCTTTTAACAAGGGTTGAAATGAAATTTTCATGTACAGTAGCATACATAATGTGTCTTAGTCACTTTCTTGGTACTGGGACAAAATACCTCATACCCACAAGTTAAGGGAGGAGAAGTTTATTTTAGCTCACAGTTTGTAGAGGTTTCAATACATAGTTGGCTGGCTCCAAGGCAGGGTGGCATGGCAGAGGGGCCTGGCAGAGGAGAGAGAGCCCATGGTACATGCCTGTAATCCCAGCACTCGGGAGGCCCAGGCAGGAGGATCATTGCAAGTTCGAGGCCAGCCTGAGATACATGGTAAATTCAAGGCCAGCCTGAACTATAGAGTGAGACCCTGTCTCAGGAAAAAAAAAAAAAAAGCTCATGACAAGCCAGGCAGGAAGAAACAGGCATCGAGGGAGGCCACACCCCACAGTGACCCACCTCTTCCTACCAGGCTTCTCCCAACATCACACCCAGCTATAAACCAATCACAGGACTAATCCAGTGTCACAGCCATGATCCAGTCACCCCTCAGACCTCCACCTACAAACACGTGAGACTTTGAGGAGACAACTAGGTGTAAGCCATAGCATTATGTAATTAGTATTTAAATTTAATTCATAGTTTAATCTTTTGAAGGGAATTAGGAATAAAAACCTAGAAGTGAAAATACTTGACGAAAGCAAAAATTGCTAGGTGTGGTGGTGTATACCTACAATCCCAGCACTCCATAAGCCTGAGGCAGAAAGATTGTGAGTTTGAACCCAATCTGAGCAATCTAGTGACTTAGCAAGAATGTTTCTCAAAAACAAAAACAAAAACAAAAACTGAGAATGTAGCTTGATCCAAAGGACCTTGATTCATTCCTCAGAACTGCAAAAACAAATTGAAGCCAGGCCTGGTGATGCAGGCCTATAATCCCGGCACTCTGGGAGGCGGAGGCAGTATGATTGCAAGTTTAAGCTCAGCCTGGACAATTTAGTGACTCAGCAAGACCTTGTCTCAAAATAAAAAGTGGGCTTGGATGTAACTTTTTGTGAAGGCTCTGGGTTAGTCCCCAGTACCATTTTTTTAAAAAGCCAAACTGAACTAAATCAAAGCACTTTAAGGGGACTTCTAGTTTAAAGTAGAACCAAAACTTGACAGGTGTGGTATCTCATGCCTATGAACCCAGCACTCAGAAGGCTGAGGCAGGAAGATTGCCATGAATTCAAGGCCAGCCTGAATTATAGATTGATACCCTGTCTAAAAAAAAAAAGTAGACCCAAACATATTCTCTGAACTGTTTAAATTGAATATTCCTAGAACATGATTATATTCCTCAGCTGGGAAAACAATTACTCTTCGAACTGATTTAAGTAACATTTAATTTCTTACTTAGCTATGCATGATTGTAGGATGATACTTAGTAAAGAACCCTTACACTTGTCAACAACTTTGGATATTGCTAGTGTGTCAGTCTGAGGATGCTGGATCTGTGTCCTGTGTGTTCATTGGTTAGAATTTCTCTAATACTTCACCATGTTCTTTGCCTAGACAGTTACTAGTATTTAATCCAAGGACAACTAATTAATCCCATAATTTTCCTGCTATTCCTTTTAACTTTGTTCACTCTGAATATAAGCTATATGAATGTGACTCATACTTGCCTCTTTTGCTTTTATGTTTATAACACACTTTGTACCAGACTGTTTCACTACCTTGAGAGAACCTAGAAATGTTTAGAAGGTTTTTTTCTCTCCCTGTCAGACATGGTGGCTTTGGGGCCAGCTGTCACAGGGATCTGCTACCAGGTCTCCAAGTTACATGGTTTGGATGAGCCTCTCGCTATGACCCTTCACCCGAAAGCCTTGTGAGTCCCCTCATCCAGAGTGTCATTTCAGGTGAACCACTGTCTACCAGAGAAGATAGTGGTGTACCGTGATGGAGTGTCTGACGGCCAGCTAAAGACAGTTGCCAACTATGAAATTCCTCAGCTACAAAAGTGTTTTGAATCTTTTGAGAATTACCAGCCCAAGATGGTGGTGTTTGTAGTTCAGAAGAAAATCAGCACCAATCTGTACCTGGCTGCTGCTGAGCACTTTGTGACTCCCTTGCCTGGAACTGTGGTAGATCACACGATAACAAGTTGTGAGTGGTAAGTGGGCAAGAAAGGTGGTATTAAAGATGAATGCATTGGAGATGTAATCTATTTCCTGGTATTGGAATAGGGAAGTTTGCTGGAGAAGTGTGGAAGGGAATCCTCAGAGTCTACTATTAAAACCTTAAAATTTTATTTAAAAAGTATAATGGTGAACAAAGGTTTTACCTCTTAAGTATAAAATATTGAAGGTAACGTCCTCTTCCTAAAATAGTGTGTATGTAACCTTCCACACACAGATAAGGTAGTTTCAGTAGCTTAATGGGCCAGGTGTGGTGGCACACACCTGTAATCCCAGCCCTTGGGAGGCTGATGTAGGAAGACTGCCTTGAGTTTGAGACCAGCCTAGGCTACGTAGTGAGACTCTGCCTCAAACAAGCTAAACCTAAGCCTAATGAGTGGATATCTAAGTGCTAATCCTGCTTTGGTCCCTGTATGTCCTTGATCCAGCCACTTACCTCTCTGAGCCCTAGATGAAGAATCTGGAATGATTTCCAAGATCCTTTCTGGCTCTGTCTTTCTAAATCCAGCCATATCACTAATTGGTCCTTCTTTCTAGGGTGGATTTCTACCTTCTTGCACATCATGTACGGCAGGGCTGTGGCATCCCTACACATTACATCTGTGTTTTCAACACTGCAAACCTGAGCCCTGATCATATGCAGAGGTGAGCTGATCAGCAGTTTGCTCTTTCTCACTCTTAATTCTGACCAGGCAGCTAAGGTGGAGTCACTACCTACCCGAGATATATTTACCCTTGGGCTTTCTTATACTTTTGACAGTAATGGTATCTTTTTGAAGAGTGATTGGTAATCTTCGTTTTACATTAAAATTACTTGAAGAACTTTAAAACACATGGTACTTCTTTAATCCTAGCACTGGAAAGGCTGAGGCAGAAAGATCACAAATTCGAGCCTTGCCTGAACTACATAGCAAGATCTTATCTCTAAACAAAACAAAACTAAAAAGCTGGGCATGGTTGCACAGCTGTAATCATAGCACTTAGGAGACCGAGGCAGGAGGATCCTGAGTCTGAGCCCAATCTGGGCTACACAGCAAGTGCAAGGCTGTCCTGGACTACATAGAATGGCCAAAAAGAAAGGGAAAAGAACTGTTGCTGTTAGCCTCTACTACCTATTACTTTAAGCATTTTATGTATGTATATGTGTATGTACATATTTTTAAAAGACAGGGTCTTGATATGTTGCCCAGGTTGGTCTTGAACTCCTGACTAAAGCAGTCTACCTGCCTCAACCTCTTGAGTCACTGGAACTATAGGTACGTGCCACCATGCCTGGGTGGCATTCCATATTTTTAAAATTGCTCCATAGTGAGACTCTGTCACAAAAAAAAAAAGCGAAAGAAAGAAAAGGAGGAAGAAAAAGAAAAGAAAAAAAAAGACAGCCTGGTGTGGTGGCACACACCTGTAATCCCACCACTTGGGAGGCTGAGGCAGGAGGATCATTGCAAATTTGAGTCCACCCTGGGCTACATAGTATGTTCAAGGACAGCCAGAACTACATAGCAAGACTGTCTAATTAATTAATTAACTAATTAATTTTTTAAAAGGCTGCAAATGATTATAACATAGAGCCAGATTTGAGACCCTATTTGCTTGAATTCAGATTATGTGCACACTCTGCTGCCTTTTCTTCATTTTTTTTTTTCTTTTTGCAGTACTGATGATTAAACCCAGGGCCTTGACACCGAGCTACATCTCCAGCCCTTTTTTATTTTTTATTTTGAGATAGGGTCTTGCTAAATCACTAAATTACCCAGGCTGGGTGTGAATTTATCATCCTCCAGCCTTTGCCTCCCAGAGAGTGCTGGGATTACAGGTGTGTGCCACCATGCCTGGCTTCTACAGCCTTTCTTGTAGATAAAAAAGAAAAAAAGGATTTTTCTTCATGCTGTTTCCTTGTATTAGTAAAATAGCAAGATGGTGCCTAAAATGAGAGGATTTACCCACATCCTCTAACTTACTAATCGTGGGAATAGGAACAGTTCCATGTAAAAACAATAATTCCCACCAGAGTCATCTTGTATTCCTGATACAAGTGTGTGTGCTGTGTCCCTAACGTGCATAGTCACACCCTGACTTGGAGGTGTAGGGTGCAAATGATCACATTTCTTCTTGGCCTACAGGCTGACCTTCAAACTGTGCCACCTGTACTGGAACTGGCCTGGCACCATCCGAGTACCAGCCCCTTGCAAGTATGCCCACAAGCTCGCCTTCCTGTCAGGACAGATCTTGCATCACGAGCCGGCCATCCAGCTGTGTGAGAATCTGTTCTTCCTGTGACTGTGTGGCCTGGACCTAGGCTGGCAAGGAGCAATTGGACTTCTCACCTCAGTTGTGACTCTTGAGGGACCAGCAGACATGGAAATGGGGTTTTGTGTTGGTGTTTTTCCTTTCTCCTACCCTTAGAGTAAGATTACTTTTTTTCTTTTAAGCCTGGTATCACCAAGAAACAAGCTTTAAAGTGCTAGCTAGAAATTGCCTTGATGCCTTTGTACGGTAAATGGCAGTAGTGCCGCTACCGTGAGGTAGTGCGGTGAGGCTGATGAAACACTAGGAGCCCTGCAAGGGCAGGGCACGTAGCTCCGTGGTGGAGTGTACCTAGCAGTGGAGCCCTGCATTCAATCCCCAGCACTGAAAAGGAAAAAAAAAAAAAAAAAAAAAAAGCCTCCAAAGCCAACATGAGCTGTAGAAACCTGCAGAAGCAGCAGTTATACCTAGAAGCGGTGTTTAAGTAGTTCCCATTTCTGCTGCCAGAGGTGATAATGAAGTCACTGCATGTTTCTTAAAGTTGTTACTTTATTTGGGCAGCTGGGAAAGGTGAAAGAGAAGCCTGTGAAGCAGAGTTTTTTGGAGGTATTGCTGTTGCTGGCAGGTTGAAAGGCAGGTGGTAGAACCAAACATGCCATGGTCAGGCCCTTGGTGCCAGAATCTTCCCTGGGGACTGAATTTACAACTCCTGTGATGTGAGCTGGGTGCCTCACAGCTGTTCCTGGGCTTTCTTTTGAGAGAGTTCAGTTGAAGTTTTTTCTATACCTTTCAGTTACTTTACAAAATACAACATTGCTTTCTTGTTCCCCACAATGCACCCACATGCACACACATACATACACCTTTGCTCTTTATGACTGATCTTCCAGAAGGTCTAATTGTTAAAATAACAACAGTGGAAAGAACTCAGCAGCTAAGAAAGTTGTGGAAGGGGTGTGAGTTTTTATTGAACCTTCCTCCCAGGTCCCTGGCCCTCATTTCTGTGTGTGTTTTTTTTTTTGTAATGGGAGTACTCATTTCTCTTGCACAAGAGCTTCTTCCCGCTACAGGCTCACTTGCTCAGAATTTTTTGGAATCCCAGTGAAAATTTCCGGAAGTCTATTTGGAAAATGGGGCACGCTTACCAACGTCCAGCATTACAGTCTGGGAAGTTGTCACGCTGCCTGTGAGCTTCATTGTTTGGCTAATGCAGTGGCTTTCTGTGTGTGTTTTTTCTCTCACTGTTTTAAAATGGTCCTGTCCTTTCAGCTCAGTTCCATGCTATCTTGCTTTACTAGGTTTTAAAACGCAGTTTTATCCTTTCAAATTTGTATTTTTCTAACGACGGTAGTCATTTATTTATTGCTGTGATGGAAAGGAGAGGACAGGGCAGATGTACCATTTTTACACAACAATGCATGAGTCTCTGTTCTGTAAAGCTCCTTAAGAGAAGCAGTGGGGCTGTTGGTACAGCTCAGTGGAAGAGCGCTTGCCTAGCATGGCAGTTCCCAGAACTGCCAAGGGGAGAGAAGAAAGAGGCCAGGAGAACTTTTAGTCTGTGGCATCTCCCAGAGGCTGGGAAGGGATGAGCACTGATGGTCCTCAATTGCAACTGTGGTTTCATTTGGAGCCCCTGACATGGGGTGCAGCTGAAACCTGGAATTTCTTTATTTATTTTTCGGGGCGGGGGGGGTTGTTTTTTTTTTTCCGGTATCGGGAATTGAACTCACGACCTCCCTCTTGCCAGGCAGGCACTATGCCACTGAGCTAAATCCCCAGCCCCTGAAACCCGAATTTAAAAGCCACAGAATCAAACACATTGAACCATTGGTCTCTGGCTGAAAAGATCAGTTTCCTAATTTTATCTGGAAACATTGTGAGTTTCTCTTTTGAAGTTGGATTTCCTAATGTTCTTCTTCTCTTAAGTAATGAGAACAAATACTTGAATATCAAAATATCTTCACTTTTTACCCTGGTGTTCTTGCTTTGTTTTTCAATTGTAATCCAAATGATTGGGTCATGGGTGAGAAATAAAAACAGATTGTATAAATGTACATTGTGTCTGAAATAGTACCATTTCTATATTACATGGAGACTTCTTTTCCTTCAGATAGCAGCACACTTAGAATTACTCATTTATTATTCTGCATGCAGGAGATAGCATGAGTGTTAGCAGTCTCACTTCTGGACAAATGAGGCTTTCATTTCATGTGTGTGTTCGTGTTTGACTTGGTTTAGATCTCTTCCCATCAGTTTGTGTTAGCCCAGGAGACAGTCAGAGAGCCCATTTCCAAGCGTGGCCTCCTCACCCTTTATTAAATGCTTGTCCTTCCCTACATATGCTCTGTCTGGTCTGCAACCCTAGAAACATTGTCCCCAAACTCCCCAGTTGCTCACTTCACCACCACACCCCTTTAAAACACCAAATTTTTTTCTGTTTATTTAGAAAATCCATTTTCAAATGATGCAGTGCTTCTTGAATTCATTCGAGAAAGGTCTTAATCTCTATACAGTATGTTACAGGGCCCTTCTTTACTTGGGCAGTGTTTTGTTAAATGATGTGCAAAAGGAAGGAATTTTAGAAATGTCTAGCTCTTTACACTGAAAACCTTAAAAGTTTGGGGCCTGAAATTAAATTCTCTGAGATGTGGAAATATTGAAGCAGAACCTACAGTATTTTCTTTTTCTAGCTCTACACATAGCCTTATCAGAGTTTCTTAGTAACTTTTCCTGTCTAGATATTCTTTGTCTTTTCAAAAAAACAAGGAAAATCAAGAGACTGAGATGACAGACCACAGATTTGGAGAACATACTTGGAAAACACATATCTGATAAAGTACTGTTATCCAAAATACACAAAGAATTCTTGAAAACATAGAGGCTGGGAGTGTAGCTCAGTGCTAAAGCACATGCTTAGCACACATGAGACCCTGTGTTCAATCTGTAGCACAAAGAACAAAAAAATCTACAAACACAAGCTTAAGAAGAAAACTAACAACTAAAAACTGCCTAACAAACTTGAAGAGACACATCACAAAGGAGGCATATGGGTAGCAAATGGGCATATGAAAAGTTGCCCAGTATCGTCTGTCCTTGGGGAAATACAGATGAAGAAGTGAGGTTCCCCCACATTCCTGTTAGTTTTGGCAAAGGCCAAAAGATCAAAATACCAAATGCTTTTGAGGATGTGGAGCAAAAAGAGAACTAATACTGTGGGAATATAAGATGGTGCAGCCATTTGAGAATACAGCTTGGCAGCTAATTAAACATGAGCTGTGGTCAGAGGTATAACTCAGTGGTAGGAGCATATGTTTAGCATGTGAGAAGCACTAGGTTCAATCCTCAGCACCAAGACAACCAACCTAATAGAATGTTACAGTTCAGCAGTCACACTCATTGGCATTTACCCAAAGGAAGTAAAAACTTACACAAATACCTAAGCACAGATGTTTATAACAGCTTCCCTCATAATTGCAAAACTTAGAAGCAGCAAGATGTCCTTCAGTAGCTGAGTAGATAAATAACCTGTCAGGCATCCACTCAGTGAGAAATTATTCAGTGCTAAAAAGAAATGAGGTATGAGGTCATAAAAAGACATGGAAGAACTTGAAATGCAAATTACTAAGTATAAGAGGCCAGTCTGGAAAGATTGCATAATATATGATTCCAACATAAGACATTCTGGAAAAGGCAAAACTGGAGACAGTAAGGACCAAGGGCTGGGGAGATGGAGCCGAATAGGTAGATCATAGAGGAATTTTAGGGCAGTGCAACCATTGACTGTAATGCTGCAATAGTGAATACATGTTATGACTATGAAAACCCACAGAATATCCTACACCAAGAGTGACCCCAAATATAAACTATGGATAATAATGTGTTCATTTAGCTTCAGCAGTTGTTACAAACGGACCACCCTGGGGGGATGTCAGTAGTGGGGAAGGCCAGGGGTAAATGGGAAGCTTCTACACCAGTGATGGTGAACCTTTTAGAGACGAGTGGCCACACTGCAACCTGCCAGCCAGGGGTGGTGGCGCACGCCTGTAATTCCAGCATTCGGGGGGCAGAGGCGGGAGGATCACCGTGAGTTCTAGGGCAGCTTGGACTACATGGTGAGCTCAAGACCAGCCTGAGCTACACAGCGAGATCTGTCTCAAAAAACAAAACAAAACAAACAAACTGCAGTCTAAAATGCACTTATTTATTGCAAAGTGCCAACACTGCAACTAAACCTGAATACTGAGGTTTTAGTTTAGCAAAAACCCACAGATTACCACTGTTCTGTACATTCTGCTCAGTTTTGCTAGGGACCTATAACTGCTCTTAAAAAGTATATTTTTTAAAAAGTGAGACTCTTGGCAACATGGCAGACTGAGCTGACCACTCTGAAAAATTTTGGCCATGACAGGTTTTTGGGGTGTTTGTTTTTAATAGAAGGTCTCAATATATTGTTCAGGCTAGTCTTGAAATCCTGGGCTCCAGTGATCCTCCTGACTCAGCCTCCTGAGTCACTGGGATTGCAGGTACACGAGACCATACCCATTTTACCCAAAATAGAAAAAATATGTATTCCTATGTAACTAAACTGGGGGGAGAGGAAGAAGGTATAGAAAGAAGAGAAGGAGCTGGGAAGGAAAGAGGAAGGATAATAGCCAGGTACAAGAAGGGGAAGCCACAGAGGTCGTAGTTGGTACTCATACAGCTCTCAGGTTTAGGGGCAAAATGCAGGTGTAGGAGGTCTTTCATCACAGGTAAGAACAGGAGATGTGGCGTCAGATCCTATGAGGTATGGGATTGCTGGAGTTAAGTCTCCTGGATGCAGGAACCTGGAAAGGTTCAGTTGGAAACTAGAAAGGGACTAGAAATTGCTGCCAGCTGTCCTGGGTTAGCAGCAGGGAAGCTTGCTGGTTGTCTTGTTTTATCTGAGACAGCATCTTGCCCGCCATATAGCTTAGGATGGTCTTGAACTCACAGCAGTCCTCCGAAGTGCTGGGATTATACCTGATGAAAACTTGGTGTTTGAACAGGGATGTAGCTATGGATAGATATAAAGGCAGTGATGAGAAATCCCCAAGCTAGGGCCAGGTGTATGTAGTTCAAATTTTTATGCTCGACATGCTGAAAGCTCAAGCTGAAAAAACAACACAGGATTAACCTGGATGGGTGCAAGCAGCTGAGCTCAGCAGAAACCAAGGCAGCCAATTGGACTGCAGCACAGAGAGGTGAAAACGACCCCTGGGAGAGAGTGCAAGTGAAAGAGGGTGATGTGTTGAAGAGAAGTTCCTGTAGATTAAAATACAATGGGTGCCGGGGATATAGCTCAGGTGCAGCACCTGCCTGGCAAGCTTGAGGTCATAAGTTCGATTCCCAGTACCAAAAAAGAAAATGGATGACAATATGGCAGATACAGTCAGCGTCTTCTAGACCTAAAGTCAGATAGGAATCATCTAACTGGAGGAACTCATGGAGGGGAAAAACAATTCCACTATTAGCGATACCCTGCTAAAGCACAAGAAAACCAAAGGTAGAACCTTAAAACAATCAGAAGTGAAAAGAGATAATTTGGCCAGGCATAATCCCAGCATGTGGGAGGCTGAGGCAGGTAGATCGCTTCCAGTTTGAGGCCAGCCTTGCTACACAGTAAGTCCAAGGCCAACCTGAACTGCACAGGGAGACCCTGTCTCAAAAAAAAAGAGATGGCCTAAAAAGAAAGTAGTCAACAATTCATGAAGCATAGTAGATATTTTAAGGTAAAAGGAATAATAATAATTTTAAAATGCAAGTGTAGCCAAGCAAAGTGGTGAATGCCTGTAATCCTAGCACTTGGGAGGCTGAGGCAAGAGGATTTCCGTGAGTTCAAGGCCAGCCTGAACTACATAGTGAGACCTTGTCTCCAAAAAACCAGACCAAAACAAAAAAAGCAACTGTCAGCTTGGAATGGTATTCCCAGCCAAGCATTCATTCATTCATTCAAAGATGAGAACAAAAATATTTTTATTTTTTTATTTTGTGCCGTACTAGGATTGAATCCAAGGCCTTCACACTGAGCTGCATTCCTACCCCTTTTCATTTTTTATTTTGAGATGGGATCTTCCTAAATTACCCAGGCTGGCCCAAACTCTCTAGCCTGCCTTAGCTTCCCTAGTGCTAGAATTATAGGCGTGCACCACCATACCCATCTCTGGTCTTTATTTTTAAAATATTATTACTTAGCCAGGCATAGGGGTGCATACCTATAGTCCCAGCACTCTGGGAGGCTGAGGCAGGAGAACCACAAGTTTGAGACCAGCCTGGGCTACCATCGTGTGTGTTCAAGGCCAACCTGGACTATATAGTGACAGTTTGTCTCAAAAAACCCCCCCCCAAAAAAAATCAAAGAAGAAACTAATTAAACAACTTTCCATTTATGGAACCAGGCATGGTGGCACATGCCAGTAATCTCAGCATTTGAAAGGCTGAGGCAGGAAGAGCACAAGTTCAACACCATCTTGGGTTATATAGTGAATTCAAGGCCAGCCTGAACTGCATAGTGAGATCCTGTCTCAAAAAACAAAACAGTAACAACAAAAAAAGGACTATTCGTGAAAAGCTAGAGAAAAACTTCTTAAAATAAGATGGTTCTTTGAAAAAATTAACAAAATGAGTAGACCTTTAGTTACACTTGTTCAGAAAAAAGAGGGCTCATATTACTACAATGGCAGGAGGTAGGGTGAGGGTTATGAAGGTGTACCATGAACAAATGCCAGTGAAGAGTTACTTCCCTTGGTGGTCTTTTTGGTGTGCACACCCACAGGACAGTAACAGAACCGATTCTCAGAGCTTCTCATGATGTTCTAACCCTTTCGCTGACAGTGTAGTGTGCTGGCACATGAGCCCTAGGCTCTGATATTGGATGGAAGAGGACCTTCACGTTCCCTCTGACTCTTAAATTTGTTATGCCTTACCAAAGCAGCAAATCCATTTTTTTCCCCTAAGAAAATACCAGAGAAGCCTGGTCGGGGTGTAGAAAATTGCAGTTTTAGGTGCACACCTGTAATCCCAGCACGCAGGGAGGCTGAGGCAGGAGGATCGTTGCAAGTTCGAGGCCAGCCTGGGCTGCAAAGTGAGCTCAAGGCCAGCCTGAATTGCACAGTGAGACCTTGTCTCAAAAAGACAAAAAAAAAAAAAAGAAAATTGTGGTCTCCTGGAGAAGCCCACCTTGACCATGAGCTGGGGAGGGCTGGCGAAAGAGAATTTGTGGCCCATCTTGCTCCTCAAATTGCCCCCTGGTCAATACAGGCTACCCAGGAAACTGTGCTCTTTCGAGTTCATAGCCCTCCCCAGTTACGCACGGGTGGAGTTTTGGCTTCTTTTGAAAGGTGGGTTTTTCCCTTTGGCAGAGGTGGGTGTGGTCTCTGGTCAGAAAGGAAACAGCAGGAGGGAAATGTCAGATTTTTGGGCCCAGTTCCCCTGCGTGTTGCCCAACACCAAACTTTTAGTGAACTGGCTGTACGTTCATCCAACACGTAGTTACTGAGAATCGCTTGTGTGCAAGATGTTACCTTAGGGCTTACAGCTTCGTCTGGAAACCTTTTGTAATCAAGAGAGATTAAGATCTAATAAAGTTAGAGATAGAAATGAAATACTTTGAAGGAAAAACATAAGGACTGTATACCAAATTCATTCTGTAGGTCAAACCCAATAACGGTCATGTAATCAGTATGGTGAGTTTGTGATTTGTCACTACTTTTAAAAACGGAATTCTAAATCGTCACTGTGTTGTATAGATACATACACTGGTATTAGAACTTTTTTCTTTTTTTTGGCGGGGGTGGGGGGCGGGGAACGGACTGGGAATTGAACTCATGACCTCAGGCTTGCCAGGCAAGCACTTGTGCTGCTGAGCTATATCCCTGGCCCCCTAGAACTTTTTTTTTTTGAGGTGCTAAGGATCAAAGCCAGGGCCCCTCACATGCTAAGCAAGCATTCTACCATTAGGCTATACTGCCAGTCCCCATTTTGTGAAATTTTTGCTTACTATATTATTTTTTTACTGGCATTATTACTACTATTATTATTATTTTCTTTGTTTTGGGGGTACAGGATCTCAGTATGTAGGTCTGTCTGGCCTTGAACTCACCATATAGCCCAGGCTGGCCTCCGACTACAGCAATCTTCCTGCCTCAGCTTCCAGAGTGCTGGGATTATGACACATAGCATATTAATATTTTTAAATGGGAGCCAGACATGGTGGTATATGCATGTAATTCCACCATCTGGGAGGCTGAGGCGGGAAGACTGCAAGTTCAAGCCCAGCTTGGGCAGCTTAGTGAGACCCTGTCTCAAAATAAAAAGGGGTAATATGAAGGTCCTGGATTCAGTCCCCAGTAACACACACGCACACACACACACACACACACACACACACACACACACACACACACGACTGGAGAGTTGGAATTCCGACACACACACACACCTGGAGAGTTTGGGGTAATTAGAGGAGGTGGGAAGGGCATGTTAAGGGAAAGATGAGAGTTTTGGGGCCCCAAACTGGCCCTAGGTATGAGGCACAGCACTGCCAGTGACAGTAGTTAGCCAGGGTACTCCTAAAGGGTTTCGTGTGGGGGTAGGCGTGGAGACTTACGGGGCTTTTGATCTTGAGCTGTGTTAATAATTAATTGTATTCCCGCGCAGTTCCTCACGGATTACCGATAGCTTATCAGCTTTGGGTGCCCATGTGGACTTTGGCGGCTCCACATTTACTCTGGGTGCAAACAAGTGAGACTGCCTGGCAGGCCCCGCGGAGGGGCGCCTCAGCCTTCCTGCCTCCGCACCCATATTTTGAGCAGTGTCTTTGACAGAAGCCGGTGCTCCTAGATGGAGCATTGACAGCTAGCCCAGAAAAGCCGGGGGGGCCACTCTGGGACCCCACTTTTAGGGAGAAACTAACACTCCTTTGGGATGTGCACTTCACACTGTTCTGAGCTGTGCGTATTTGAGCATTTTGCTTGACTTTATGCCTGGGTGGGCTTTTGATTTCTTTTCCACTACCCAAGCAAGGGCCTGACAGGGACTGACCTTCGCTGACGGCCCACTGCACTTCCGGATTAGAGTCCCCCGTGGATGACATAATGTCTGCAAAACCCTGGGAGTTGAACCCAGAAAGGTAAATAGAAAGGGTTATTACAAAGATGAAGGGGCTCTGGGGGAAACTGTGCCAGAGATATCATTACCTTAGAATTACTTGGAAAATAAATGAGAGGACTATCCTGGCTCTCCCCTAGACCCACTGGAGTGTGGTAATAACAGGGTAAGGATAATTGAATTTTAAAAGAATTCAGGCGCAGCTAGTCTCTTCCAGAGAGACCGGAACAATCTGGCCCAGCGTCAGCGCTTTCTCCCCCTCTCTCCCGGCTCTGAGCGCGCGGGCTCCTTCCTGCCACCTGCTCGGGGACAGCCCGCTTCCTTTCCCCCTTCAGCCCCGCCTCCACGGGTGTGTTCGCACAAAAGACTCGCTTGGAGTGGGATGTTGTCTCCCTTCTCCGCGCAAATTCAGCGACTCCGGGTAGCCGCTGGGCACGGGTCGTTGTGCCAGAACTGCGGTCCTAACTGGCCGCAGTTCCTCTAGGAGCCCCTCCCCTGGGTCTCCCAGCCCCGGGTGGCAGCTACAGAGGAAATAATCCTAACATCCAGCAGGACACAACAATGGGGATTTGATGGGTAGTTTATTTTCTCAAGCAATTTGCATTTGCGAGGCCTGATATCCATATCAACAGGCCCATCCCACATCGGAAGAGACTCCCGGCTCTTTCCTCGCGCCAATAGCGCGTGTTCGGGTTAACAGGCGCCGCTCCTAAGGAGTCTACTTAGGGGACGTGGAGAGAAACGTAGTTTGAAAAGCAAATATAATATGGTTTATTTGGAACTAGAACAGGACATTTTGGTACTTTTGGCTGGTGGAAGTATGCAGAAGAAACCGTCCACGTGGCTGCCCCTCCTACAGTACATTTCGGAGTCGGGAGGGAAACGTTTAAAAGGAACGCGCACGTGCCAGCCGGGGCGCCCGCTCCTCCGACAGAGCGCGTGGAGGTGAGCAGCGCGCCCCACGTAGGAGAAGGTGCAACGGGAGGTTTCCAGGGAGAGAGGCGCCTGCGCGGCCTCGCCACTCCGGGATGCAAAGCGAGCGCAGGCCGGGGGACC